TCCCACTGGGCCCTGGACTGGAGAGAGCCAGGTGAGAAACAAGGCTCATGTCAAGAAAGTATGGTAGCTTGCTTCTCTCTTTGGCATGTACAAAACCAGTAAAGCCAAACCAGAGCCTTCATTCAAAGATAAGCCCTCTTTGTACTACTTGAACTACTTAGGTAAAGATTTTGCTGTTCTCCCCTACTCTGGGCTCTAGCTAGTTCATCATCTCAGAACTCAAGCAGGTTCTAGTCAAACTCAGCAGCTGAGACCTCTCCTGAAGATACTCTGTCCCATCAGACAGCACCCTTCTAGCCTGGGTCCTGGGCAAAAAGCTGCAGTCAGAAAGAAGAGGTTCACTTGGTCTAAGTGGACAGCATCAGTCACCTCCCTGGCCTTTCATTTTCTGCCAGTCATAAGAGCTAGAAGGACTCTTAGATATACAAAGCAGAGAGAGCCCCTGGTTCTACCAAAAAGTTAGAGGTCTTCCTCCTAGGGCCCCTCCCTCCAGCATCCAAGTCAGGAGCTTCCCAGGGTCCCTACTACTTGCTAGCTTACCTTTCTGGGAAAGCTGGGCTCTGACATTGTCCAGTTCATTCTGCAAGGCAATATCCACAATAAATAGTAGAAAAGCATCATAGCTGACTTTCAAGTGGCCTCCCCTAAAGCCATGGGGAGTCCCAGGATTGGACAATGAGGCCTATAGATCCAGGGAAGCTGTGTACCTCAAGGTCAACCTAAGCCAACAATGGAGAGATAAGTATTTATATACTTTTTTGAAAAGTAGGTAAGATGGAGAAAAATAACCTCAGGAGCAAGGTCCCAGGCAGCGAAAGAGACAAAATAGTGGGAAAGGAAATAAAGTTGGGCTCATGTGGTCAGTCTGAAAAGCAGAGGCTTCCAACTCTTCCTTGGCCTCATTCTCTGTGCTGGCTTTATTCTCTCTGGGCATTAGCTGCACTTACCAGGGACACTGAACAGGAATAGGCAAGGAACTTGGGCCACTTCTCTCCACCCTGGGTCCTCTTGCTTCATAGTCTTCCTCGCTCTAAGCTGGCTCTGTGTACCACAAACCTTCCAGCCCCAGAATTCAATAGAGGCAGGTAAGCCAGGACAGCTTTATACTCCTGGATGAACTCTCTTGTGTGCTAGGTTCTAACTAGACTGTTGTGAGGGTCAAGTGAGACTTTCTCAAAGCCCTTGCACATGTTCCAGAGCCGTACCACAGAATCACTGAAAGGCTAGGGCAGAACTGAACCCAGTTCTCTTTCAGGAGTCCAGAGAATTCAACATCCCTAAGGGCAAAAGAGTTGCCTATTCCAGGAAAACCAAGGTTTTACAGAATCAAATCATTTGATAAAGGGTCCATGGGAGTAGTTGGATGAAATCCAGGCAAATCTTACTCTAGATCACCCTTCTAAGGTCAATAAAAGTCTCAGAATTTCACGTGACCAATACTAAGGTCCAAGCCCAGTTGGTGGACAAGCCCCTGATGTCAGACTCTCCATCCAGGATACTGGTGACAGGAGCTTCCAGTGACTGAACAGCAGGGAGTGAAAGTGATGAGCAGTGAAGGACATGAAGGGGCTGCCTGAGAACGGATACCAGCCTCAGACTGCAGTACCACTGCCCATAGTCCCCTGGCTCCTTCCATACCCCAGCAGATGCTTCCAAGCCCTTGCTCCAAACTACTCAAGGTGTTGCCTCCCAGTCTCACAGACCTGGTTTTGAAAGCCGAAAAAAAGTGAAGCTGCCTTTGTTGCTTTCATCACAGGAAGGACACCACTTAAAACTGGGAGCAGTTACCATGACGATGAACATGATGGCTCTAAGCACAAAAGCTGCATGTTCCTGAAACAGTGAGGTTCCAAGGGCATGATACCCTGAGGCCAAAGGCAAATGAACTCTGATCTGACAGATGCCCAGCAAATTAGCCCTTAGGGTTCAGGGATAATTTGTGAACCCCAACCCAACTTCCTCAAGAGCTTTCTGCTAATCCTCATGCACAAAGAAAGCTACATTTTAGCTCTGGAAGGGAAGCAGTAGAGGACCTAGTCCTTCTTCTCTGTAGTGTGTGTTTCCACCTGGACTGCAAATCTTGATTCCAGGGGTTCTGCCCCCTATTCTTGGTCTGGGGATGGCCTAGGTATCTGACTTTATACCAAGCTTCCCCGGCAATTTTGAGGCACAGGCCTGAGTCTGACTAGGAAGTGGAAGAGTTTTCTAATCTGTCACTAACTGTTCCAGCAGCAAAGTAGGCTTGGAAGGATGGTTATAGAACCTTCAAAAAGCAAGGGAATCTCAGCAGAGGTGTTCTTTCCTTTAGATGGAGTTGTCCTGAAATCCCAAGGGGAGGGTTCACAGTCAAGCAGCCCTTTTCTTCCCTTAAAGTGTATTTCTCCAATGACTGTGTCTTATCCAACTGTCCCCTGCTCTCTCTGTCCCTGTCTTGAAATTTCTACCAGTTTCCTATCTCTATGCTCTAAGCATCCCTCTCGTGTGGGAGTAGAAAGTGAATTCCCAGGCTGAGCACATGGTTTATGACTGTAATCCCAGTACTCAGGGAGTTTAAGGCAGAAGCATCAGCTAAGGTCAGGAGTTTGAGACCAGCCTGGGCAACATAGCAAGACCTTGTTTTTACAAAAAAAATGTAAAATTAGGCAGGCATAGTGGCATATACCTATAGTCCTAGTTACTCAGGAGGATGAGACGGGAGGATGACTTGGGCTCAAGAGTTCAAGGTTACAGTGAGCTATGATCAAACCACTGTACTATAGCCTAGGTGACAGAGCAAGACCTGCCTCTTAAAAAAAAAAAAAAAAAGTGAAGCCCCATAGGGCTCATATAAATTCTAGGTACCTTTAATAATTCTGCATCCAAGACATTTTCCTCCTCCTGGGAAAGGTCAAAGAAGAGCTTATTGATAATGCTTCTTTTGCCAACCTGGATGGAAGAACAAGACAGAGTACAACTGTGTAGCTGGGTCATAGGTAAGGACAAGGGGTTGTACAAGAGTCTAACTGCCTAACATTCATACCAGGCCTGTTTTCAAGTCTAACCTTTCAAAGTACATCCTTTGGAGACAGAAGGATGCACTTGTGTGTAGAAAGCAAACTTCCAGGCTAGGCATAGGACTCCACCCTTGCAGATAACCAATGCTGGGGCTGCTGGTTTGGTGACTGCTGGTCATGTTACTGCAGATGCAGAACCATGTGGCAAGTGCTCAAAAGACACTCCAACTCTAGGTGCTGGGGCACTGAGGAAAAAGGCAGTAAAGAAGGCCAAATCTACCCAAGTGGAAACTGGCCCAGGGGCCAAGTGCAGTGTCTCATACCTGTAATTACTGTAATTTGGAGAGCCAAGGCAGGAGGATCACTTGAGCCCAGAAGTTTGAGACCAGCCTGGGCAATGTAATAAGACTTTGTCTCTACAAAAAAAAAATTAGTCAGGTATGGTGGTGCACACCTGCAGTCCCAGCTACTAGGGAGGCTGAACTGGAAGGATTACCTGAGCCCAGGAGATTGAGGTTGTGGTGAGCCATGTTCATGCCATTGCACACCAACCTGAGCAACAGAGCGTGACCTCTACTTCAAGAAAAAGAAAAAAAAAGGCCAGGCATGGTGGCTCACACCTATAATCACAGCACTTTGGGAGGCCAAGGTGGGAGGATTGCTTGAGCCCAGGAGTTTGAAACCAGCCTAGACAACATGGCAAGACTTCATCTCAGCCGGGCTCAGTGGCTCAGCCTGTAATCCCACGCCTTTGGGAGGCTGAGATGAGTGGATTGCTTGAGCCCGTGGGTTCAAGACCCGCCTGGGCAGGCGAGACCTCATCTCTACAAAAAAAATCAAAAAAAAAAATTAGCCAGGCATGGTAGTGCGCGCCTGTAGTTCCAGCTACTTGGAAGGCTGAGGCGGAAGGATCGCCGGAGTCCAGCAGATCGAGGCTGCGGTGGCCGGGAGCGACCACTGCACTCCAGTCTGGACGACAGAGTGAGACTCCAACTCAAAAAAAAAAAAAAAAGACTTCATCTCTACATACATACATAAGCCAAGTGTGGTGGTGTGTGCCTGTAGTCCCAATTACTCGGGAGGCTGAGGCGGAAGGATCGCTTAAGTCAAGGCTTCAGTGAGTTGTGATTGCACCACTGCACTCCACACTGGGTGACAGAGTGAGACCATAACTCGAAAGGAAAAAAGAAAATAGAGAAGAGAAAAAACTAGACCAGGCAACAAGTCCATCTGCCAGCTACCTGTGATATAAACAGGCCTCTCAAGCAACTGAAGGACACAAGTGAGGCTCAACTAGCCTTAAACCAGGACCAAGTTCAGAGATCTTTCCACATCCCTGCTCCCTGGTAAGGAGAAGATGTCTTCAGATGAGGTAGTCTCACCCCAACACCCTCACCTGAATTCGGCACTGTGGGCAGGTCCGACTTGGTGCTGTCTCAAACCACTGAATTAGACTGGAATGAAAAGCAGAATAACAGATTGATGAGCCCTGCCTTGGTTCAGGACATAAGCTAGTCAGTCACTTTGACCACAACAGGGTCTGCTCTGCTTCTCCTCAACCCGATGCCTGTCCAAATAGGGGAGCCCTACAGGCAGTTATAGCACCTCCCACAAGGCCTGACTGGTACTTAGCATGCAGACCAACTGGCCCTTTTGTTAGCCCTGTTGGCTTGGCAAGAAGGCTGTCCTTCTGGTAACCGTCTAGGCTTTGACTTGGATAAGGAGAGGTGACAGTCAAAGCCCAGGGTCGCTGGGTTCGGTGGCTCAGCCTGCAATCCCAGCACTTTGGGAGGCTGAGGTGAGTGGATTGCCTGAGCCCGCGGGTTCGAGATCTGCCTGGGCAACTTGGCAAGACCTCATCTCTACAATAAATCAAAAATTAGCCGGGCATGGTAGTGCGCAGCTGTAGTTCTAGCTACTTGGAAGGCTGAGGTGGAAGGATCGCCAGAGCCCAGCAGGTCGAGGCTGTGGTGGCCGGGAGCATGCCACTGCACTCCAGTCTCGGTGACAGAGTGAGACTCCAACTCCAAAAAAAAAAAAAAAAAAGCCCAGGGTCCCTCAAAGATAGGTACTCTGAGCCGGGCTCGGTGGCTCAGTCTGTAATCCCGTGCTTTGGGAGGCTGAGGTAAGTGGATTTGCCTGAGCCCACGGGTTCGAGACCTGCCTGGGCAACTTGGTGAGACCTCATCTCTACAATAAATCAAAAAATTAGCCGGGCGTGGTAGCACGCGCCTGTAGTTCCAGCTACTTGGAAGGCTGAGGCTGAAGGATTGCCGGAGTCCAGCAGGTCAAGGCTGCAGTGGCCGGGAGCGGCCACTGCACTCCAGTCTGGGCAACAGAGTGAGACTCCAACTCAAAAAAAAAAAGATAGGCACTCTGATAACACCTCCACTTCAAGCTGGAACCAAAAAAGCTACACTTCCAAGGTAAGGGACAAGTAGAAATAAAACTAAGTAGCAGTAAAAGCAAAACACAGCCCACTTTCAAATCATTTATCTAGGTGGTATGACAAAGCTGAAGTCTTAAATTTTAATTAAGGTAGTTTTCTACCTCACCCACAGGGACCAGGGGAAAACAAAGTTTTCTCTGGAAGATGATACCATCATGCTAGACCTCAAATATCCCTATAAATAATTTCTTAAATATCATATACAACATATAATCAAGGCTAATCAGATATAATGGAATACTACACAGCAAGGAGAATGAGTCTACAACTAAGAACAATATTGTGGATGAGTCACAAAAACATAATATTGAGGAAGAGAAGCCAGATATAAAAAGGTATATTCTGTATTATTTCACGTACATAAAGAAAAAAGTAAGCAAAATTCATCTATGCTCTCAAAGTCAAGCCAGTAGTTATCTTTATGTGAGGTAGGAAAAGAGGAGTTGGTAATGGTACTTAGAAAGGCACGTAGGGGCCAGGCTCGGTGACTCAGCCTGTAATCCCTGCACTTTGGGAGACCAAGGCAAGTGGATTGCCTGAGCCTGTGGGTTCGAGACCCACCTGGGCAACTTGGGGAAACCTTATCTCTACAATAAATAAAAAATTAGCCAGGTGTGGTAGCGCACACCTGTAGTTCTAGCTCCTTGGAAGGCTGAGGTGGAAGGATCGCCGGAGCCCAGCAGGTCAAGGCTGCGGTAGCCAGGAGCGTGCCACTGCACTCCAGTCTGGGTGACAGAGTGAGACTCCAACTCAAAAAAAAAAAAGGAAGACCATGTAGTGTTTCTAGAGCTGACAATATCCTGTTTCTTGATCTGAATTTTGGCTGCATGAGTGTGCTCAATTTGTGAAAATTCTGCAAGTCATATACTCCTTATATGTCTATTTTTCTGTAACTGTATTATACTTCAATAAAAAATTATTTAAAGGTAAATGGGCACACAAGGAAAAGAAGCACCGTGATCATGACCACAAATTGGAATTGTCACAGACCAAACACATTATGCTAAAGACATAAAAATCAAGCTTGAAAATATCAGTAGAGAAATGAAAAAATGACTTAGTAGGATTTAAAAAGAACCACATTATGCTAAAGAAATAAAAATCAAACTTGAAAATATCAGTAGAGGCTGGGCACGGTGGCTCAAATCTGTAATCCCGCGCTTTGGGAGGCTGAGGTGAGTGAATTGCCTGAGCCCACGGATTCGAGACCTGCCTGGGCAACTTGGCGAGACCTCATCTCTACAATAAATTAAAAAAAAAAAAAAAACTAGCCAGGTGTGGTAGCGCGTGCCTGTAGTTCCAGCTACTTGGAAGGCTGGGGTGGAAGGATCACTGGAGCCCAGCAGGTCGAGGCTGCGGTGGCCGGAAGCGTGCCACTGCACTCCGGTCTGGGCGACGGAGTGAGATTCCAACTCAAAAAAAAAAAAAAAAGAAAAAGAAAAATAGGCCAGGCACAGTGGCTTATGCCTGTAATCACAGCACTTCGGAAGGTGGAGTATGGTGGTGAATGCCTGTGGTTCCACCTACTTGGAAGGCTGAGGCAGAAGGATTGCCTGAGCCCAGCAGACCAAGGTTACAGTGGCCATGAGCATGCCACTGCACTCCAGCCTGGGTGACACAGTGAGACTATGACTCAAAAAAAAGAAAAAGAAATTCTGAGAAGGTCTAGCATACACATAATTGGGAGTTCCAAAAAGAAAATGGTACATAGAATAATGTCACTACCACCAAAAAAAATAATAATAATAAATAAATCCATGCCCTAATCCCTAACACCTTACATGACAAGAGGAATTTTGCAGATGTGATTAAATTAAGGGTCTTGAGATGGGAAGATTATCACAAGGGTTCTTTTAAGAGTGAGACAGGGCCAGGGCAGTGGCTCACACCTATAATCCCAGCACTTTGGGAAGCAGAGGTAAGAGATTGCCTGAATCCACAGGTTCAGGTTCGGGTTCGAGACCAATCAGGGAAACTAGATGAGACTTCATCTCTACAATTAAAAAAAAAAAAAAAAAAAGTGAGACAGGAGTGTCAGAGCCATGTAGAGATATTTGAAGGTGTAATTTTCCCCATGAGCCAAGGAAGGCACAGCCTTACTGACACCTTGATTTTAACCCAGTAAGACCTGTTTTGGATATTTGACCTTCAGAATGAAAAGTTAATAAGTCTGTATTGTTTTAAGCCATTTAGTGGTAATTTATTATAGCAAAAATGGGAAACTAATATAGAAAGAAAAGAGTTAATGGATTAGAAGAATTATTATGAAGAGATAATGGTTGATGATTTTCCAGAACTGATGAATGAAATTGTTCCATAAGTTAATAACTCGAATGAATATCAAGCAGAATAAACAAAAAGAAATTCACACTGGATACACGATAGTGAAACTGTAGAAAACTTAAGTCAGAGAAAACTCTAAAGGCAACAAGAATGGGAGGGTATGTTCTAAAAGTATGTTTAAAAGAGTAAGCAACAAATTAAAATCTGACTTCAATAGCTACAACAGGATGGGCTCAGTGGCTCAGCCTGTAATCCCAGTACTTTGGGAGGCCAAGGTGTGTGGATTGCCTGAGCCCGCAGTTCGAGACCAGCCTAGGCAACTTGGTGAGACCTTGTCTCTACAATAAATAAAAAATTAGCCGGGCATGGTAGCACGCACCTGTAGTTCCAGCTACTTGGAAGGCTGAGGTGGAAGGAAGGATCGCCAGAGCCCAGCAGGTCGATGCTGGGGTGGCCGTGAGCATGCCATTGCACTCTGGCCTGGGCGACGAAATAAAACTCCAACTAAAAAAAAAAAATAGCTACAACAGAAACTAAAAGTCAGATGAAAAAAGATATTCCATGCAAACAGTTGCCAAAAGAAAGCTGAAGTGGCTATACTAGCAGCAGACAAAATAGAATTTAAATCACACAACACACACTTTAAGTTAAAAAAAAAAAAGCTACAAGAGGCCGGGCAAGGTGGCTCATGCTTATAATCCCAGCACTTTGGGAGGCTGAGGTGAGAGGATTGCCTGAGACCAGGGGCTCAAGACCAACCTGGGTACATTGGCGAGACTTCATCTCTACAATAAATCAAAAAATTAGCCGGGTGTGGTGGTATGTGCCTGTAGTTCCAGCTACTTGGAAAGCTGTGATGGAAGGATCATCTGAACCCAGCAGGCTGAAGCTGTGGTGGCCGTGAGTGTGCCACTGCACTCCAGCCTGGGTGACAGAGTGAGATTCTAATTAAAAAAAAAAACTGTGAAGGACATTATACATTGACAAAAAGTTCAATCTTATAAGAAGAAAATTATAAATATATGCACACCAACAACAGAGCCCAAAAACATAGAAAGGAAAGTTTGACAGAACTGAAAGGAGAAATATTTCTACAATATGAGTTGGAGATAACAATACTTCACACTTTCAATAGATGGAACAACCAGACAGATGATCAATAAGTATATAGAGGACTTGAATAACACTATGAACCAACTAGACCAAACAGACATATACAGAACACTCCACTCAAGAGCAGCAGAATACATGGAATATTCTCCAGGATAGATCATATGTTGGGCCATAAAACAATTTTTAATAAATTTTTAAAAATTGAAATCATACAAAGTATATTTTCAGATCACATTAGAATAAAACTAAAAATCAGTAACAGAAGGAAAACTAAAAAATTAATAAATATGTGAAAATTAAACAACACACCTTTTTAGAGGTTTGTTTTGTTTTGTTTTGAATTGGACTCTTACTCCATCACCCAGGCTGGAGTGCAGTGACACACTCATGGCCACTCCAGTGTCAGCCTGCTGGACTCCGGCGATCCTTTCGCCTCAGCCTTCCAAGCGGCCAAAACTACAGATACAAGCTACCACACCCGGCTAATTTTTTAATTTATTTGTAGAGACACGGTCTTGCCAAGTGACCTAGGCAGTCCTCTCCCTAGTTGGCCTCCCAAAGTGCTGGGATTGCAGGCTTGAGCCACTGTACCTGGCCACACCCCTTTTT